GGAGCGCGAAATCGATTTGAGTCACTTTATTATAAACCATGTATTATCTCGCTTGTTTTACTATACTTTTACTATACACACAAAAACACACACAAAAAAAACACAAATACACACACAAATACACAGAAATATATGTAGAGATAGTTGCTTTTATGGAGTGTATATGAAGTTGCATAAGGAATTGGTTGAAATTCTGTTCATATCCTAGGGAAAGACATAAATCTTCTCCTTTAGATATTCAGTCCTAATGCCATGTATCAACAATAAAAATAAGTATTCATATATCCTGATGTTTGACGAAGAACAAAATATGTTAAATCCTTGTCACGTAACTGTTTTATGTGGTAATACAGCAGAAGCTGCTATACCCAACTGCTATTATGGAATTATAGTTCTGTTAATAAATGGGCTGTTTATTCGATAACTTTCTTTTGTAATAAATAAATGTTAACAGTCATCGAATAAAAGAACATTCATATTCCACTTCAGTTCCTGCTTACTCTGTAAACATAAAATTTTCAGCTGTTTTTTTTTAATATTTACAACGTTTCAGTTATGGGTCCCTAGACTATCTTCAGATCTTTGTGACATTTAGTGATTGAGGCCACTTAGATAAGAGAAAAAAATAAGGAATAAATGAATATAAAAGCAGACAAGGTGAGGAAATCAGTTTGAATGACTTTGCGCATAACAATAGTTCATCATGTAAAATATAATTAATGTAGAAATAATTTTATAGAGTAAATTAAAAATAAGCTGTCAGTAAATTTTTCTAAGAAAGTAAATATATTTAAAAAGTAAACACTGGCAATAAGAATTCATCAGCAGTTAGAAGTTATTTCCTTTCCTACTGAAATTATTAACAAATATTATATTTTTATTATTAATATTTCGTGCATCGCTAGACACTGAGGGAAATCATGTAATCCCAAATCTACAGCATCTTCTTCAGTTATCATCCCAAATCCCAGCTACAGATACAATTATTCCTCGATTTTTTCACTCACCAAATCACAATTCTCGCCTTTTGGCACGGGTGCGTTATTTGATACAACATTATTTGTGATGTTTTACAGTTTTCTTAGTTCCCTGAAGAAGTTCTGATACTTTCCAATGTTTGCCTTTCATCTTCATCTTGTGATCCGCTAGCGTAGCCTCGTCTACGGTTTTGTAAGTCCTCTTTGTCCAGAATCTTCACATCCGGTTTTCTTGCTTGGATGATTTGGATGTCAAACTCGCAAAATATCACATTATCTTTATTTTCTATGACAGCCTTCTGCTTTGGGCTCAGATCATTTGTTTAGATGGTCGAACTTAAGTCGCCTGCACAATACACATTACTGCTCCTCATCTGCCCTCAGGTAGTGGTTGTTACAATAATTACTACTATTAGCAATAGTAATCTTATACCTAAAACGAACAAAGAAAACTTCATTTCAAATCATTTTGCTTTAGGCTAATTCGATCATTTAATATTTAACTTATATTTTATCATTTCATAAATTATATTTAGGATTTCTTGTTTTGAAACCAAAGGTTGTCAATTAGAATATCAGTTTAAGCTTGTTTCCATTTAATTTTTTATTGGCTTCCATTTATTTATGTTATTTATTTATTTGATTATTTATTTTTCATTCAGTGTCTTAGTGACTTCAATATTAAGCAGATTTTTGGTTCATCATTAATCGTCATTATTGCTATTATTTATATTACTACTAATAATAATACAATTACTCTAAAAAGTGAAGGCACACTTTTGATTAACAAAAGCTGCCTTTCAAAAACTAAACAAAATATTAAGAAACAGGAAAATTTAATTACAAACAAAGACAAGATTTTCTAAATACTATACAATAGCAGGCATCTAATAGGGTAATGAATGCTGGACAATTTCCTCACAGATGTAGAAGATAATTGAGACAATTGGAATCTGTTTCCTCAGAGTGATGCTGAGAAAACCATGAACAGAGCATGTAAGCAACGAGGAAGTTTTAAGTAAAACGAAAACAAAAAAAGACAATTCTACATAAAATCAGAAAGAGAGAGAAAGAGAAATTCCTGTGATATATAATAAGATCTGGAAAATTTGATAATCTCAGGACATACTGAAGTCAAGACAAAGGGAGACAATCAGGGAATAACCTATCTAACGAGATTTTGTGTGTGTTTGGTAGAAGAGGAAGTGAAAGGGGTAATTAAATGATCAATATTTCAAAGAGCTACGTAGAATAGGAAGTTGGATGAGCGGTGATCACTCAAATCCTGAAGGGAAACGCATATACATGAAGTTTTATCGTTAGTACTCACGTTGTAAATTAAGTAGTATCAAATTTCCTCAATATTCAAATGTACTCATCAGTTTCCTTGCTATTATTTTTTTAGTAATTGGGTTTTGGATGATTCTATATATTCTTTAGATTTCCTGACTTTCCACTCATTTTCTAGAAAGTGTCTTCCAATAATTATGAGACACTCATGATGCCACATTTTTTACTCCTTTGTCATGGTCCATATATTTTTCCAGATTTTCACTGTCTATAAATTTCGCCTGAAATTTCGTCAGTTGGAATGGTAACGTTCAATATATGGCAATCTTGTTACGGTGTGGAAAACTTCGAGTTTATACTGCAAAGACACGTCTTTCACTAATTTCCAACTGCCATATGCTCGCTTTTAAAATGCGCCTGATGTAATTTGATACATCCACTTACATTCGATGAATGACATTTTCATCTTTGTTTCTACATTTGCTATTTGATTCTTTTTTTTTTACATTTCTTGCCTTTTGATTCAATTGTTTGAAGCTGTTATTGCTAGGGGAGAATATACATTGAGCGTAATTGCTATCGGCGGAGAAATTGGAATGAAACAGAGTCCAAATCTTCTTCTGGCCTGTTACGTTCTGTTTTTCTACTATGCCACTGGAAAAAGCCATGAATCCGTTTGACTCCTTTCACCTATAGATTAAATAGCAGAATAGGCTAGGATTTCTAGCCTTGAGTGACAACCAGTCTATGTGAAATCGTGTAAAAGAAAAGACTTCATTGTCATTCCCAAGAAGTCTTGGCAATTCCCAGATAATAAAGAAACATCAATTAGTCGGCCATGAGTACCTAACTTCTATTGGGACTTGCTATAAAATACTATGAATTCTTTTTCTCATTTCAAGTGTCCTATTCACGGCTATGACCGTTTTATTCTTGCTTTATTTCATTTTATTTTTCATTTGAATTCTCCACGAAGTTTTTCTTCTTTTTTTTATTTATTTTTCTTTCCTACTTTACGTTTTTATTATCCAATTTTGTCGGTTCGTTTGCATTTTCTAGCTGCAGCTTATTTTGCTCTGTGTATTTCATCTTTGATAGCCGAAACAAGACAATCTACGATTCTTTGAAATTCCTTCCACATAAGGTCTATCGCCTGGACTGTAAGTGATTTTTTATGTACGGACATCAATTTTCAGGTTCTCTGATTCAAAATTATCGGTTCTTTTGTCCAGATTAGTTTTTAGGGTACCATGAGAAACACTTTTAGCTTCATAGCTACTCTGCTATAAGGTAAACTTATTAGTGAAACAACAAATTGTGAAGCCTGTGAGGTATCGTCTGTTGCTGATCTTAGTTGTTTTGGTTTCTTAATGGTCTTTTGTATGTTTGAAAGAGAAAAATCATGTTTATCCAAAGTAAAGTCAGGCACTAACCAAAAAGAAAATCTTTAGACTTGTTCCATTCATTGTAAAATTGCTAAGAGCTTGCTTTTTTTAATCATAATAAAAGCTCTACAAACCGATTAAGTGCTCTATTTATTCACTCCTTTTGTTAATTCCTTTCTAAAATTTCTTCTGTGGGTATTTATGTATCGTCAGAAAATAGCGATTAAATAATAGTCAGTCAAATAGCGATATTTTCTTTTAGATTCTCTAAAAGGATGTAACATAATGAGAGTAATCCGCTGATATATTTGACCGATATATACGCATTAACTTTATAAAATATACTGAAATAAAATGACGTTATTATACTGATCTTTCCGCTCGTTCTACGTCACCATTTATAAGCTTCCGGGAGCCTTTTCCAATATTCACCCCCCACCCACACACATATATATATATATATATATATATATATATATATATATATATATATATATATATATATATATATATATATGTGTGTGTGTGTTTAAAGAATTCTTTTTCTGTAGCATAACTAAATACCTACGCTTCCGATTGATTCTGGACGTGTACCAAAATCTTTTGGCAGACGTCAGACATGGTCTGTAATATAATAACATCTTGATGAAAACTATTTTATAAAAGAAATGAAACAAAATAAAATGCAAAAGGATAAAAGCATTGTTGCATTATTATTTATATACGAATATAGGTTTTTATCTACCTACTTGCAATCTGTTTTATGCTTCCTACTCTTCCCCCAGCCCCAAAGTGATGCTTCGATATTGTTGTTACGACAATTTCCCTTATTTTTCTTACTGACCCTGGATCAGTTACTTTACTTTTCGATAATTGGTGCATCACTTTAAGTTTTTCTACAATTGTCCAAAACACATTTTGGTTCTACTGATGCCATGTCTCTGAATTCTTTCTGCATTACGTTGTAAAAGAAAAATCTGTGAATGCTATTCGGGAAAAACAAATATGAACCGAAGCCATACTTCACAAAATTAGAATGGCTATGACCAGAATTTAGCCAAGCAGAATTTAGTAGTATTTCGATAATACAATGGTAAATATAAACATTAAAGTAATAAAGTGGAAAAGAAATAATATTTTTATAAAAAATGGTCTTTATGAAGTTATTGTAAATTAAAAAATGCATTTATGATTTGTATATCAATTCGGAAATAGATATATCTATATTTAAAATTTAAATGTTAATATTTGTTTTTATTTTTGCATATATATGAATAATTCATTTTATTTTTGAAGTAAAAGACTCACCATGGAATTTTCACGCATCGTGTTATGAATAATCATCTCGATGAATATTAAAATTAGTTTTTTTTTTTTTTCCGCTGAAGGAAATGTTTTCGAACAAATCGCTTGTGAGCATCGGCTGAACAGACGGGAACATACATGGCAGATGGTGATTTGTCAATGGTCAGCCATCTTGGTTTGATGTCACCGCGGAAAATAAATCAGTCTCCATTTTAAACTGATGCATTTGTATTACTTGTTTCTCTTTTTTCTTTTCTAAAAAGAAAAGAAAAAAGAGAAACAAGTAATACAAATGCATCAGTTTAAAATGGAGACTCATTTTTTTTCTCATTTTTTTATCTGTCGACTAACATAAGTTTGTTCTTTTTTATATTTCAGCTTTTTATTTAAATCTCTTTTTCATATATTCATTTCCTCCTTCTTTCTCCATCTCTCTCACACTAATATACATCTCTCTCTCTCTCTCTCTCTCTCTCTCTCTCTCTCTCTCTCTCTCTCTCTCTCTAGTACTCAGAACATCTTGCGTCTTTTTTTCTTTTCGTTCTTGTTCGATCTTGACAAAAGTCCTTAGCAGGAAAACAACAGACAAAAAAAAACAGCCTTATATTAGATGAATGAGGATATCGACTGTCTTGCGTGCCGGAATCAACGAAATAAACTTAATTGAGTTGGGAAAAAGGAAATTTTTCTCTCTTTCCCCTGAGCAATATGAACTACTTTCCCAAAACATTCATTCTTTAAATCGTTCAATTTGTTTTCTTTACCCAAACTACAAATGCTTCCATTCTAACTTTACTGAACATATCAAGAGCGTCATTTCCAACATAATAAACGGCTGAGGTTCGAATCAAATAAACACCTCAGATCAATTTTGGGACAAGTATGTTCCAGTCAGTTTTTCAGAATTTGTTCTACATATTTTCTTAAATAGTACGGGTTACACTTGACAAATTTATTATCTGCTAAAAGTGAAAATTATACATTTTTACAGAGTTTCCAAATTCAAAGAAAGCATGACTCTATCATGATTGTATTAGGATTGTATTATTACCATAAAGGTTAAATTTAACAGCCAACGAATGTCTACTATGTTTGTTCATGAGCCGTTCTAAGCTTCGTATAGTGGCTTTAGTTTCAGGAGAAAATAACGACAAAACTGCCCAACAATTGAATATTTATTATTATGCTGTTCCTCGATCTAAACTTTCGTTTCACATGAGTCGTCATCATAGTGGTTATATGAACATTATAACAGAAATGTTCACCATCAAAGATGACATCCTATAATGTTTACATTGCAGTTTACTATGCGACGATAATGATCACCAAATAGCAGACGCAGCTTCACGTGGTCATGTATGACGTCATAGAACCGCACTACGAATTTACGACCTGCGTCCGCTTTAACACTTTCTCCAAATACTTATCATTTAGAGCTGATATTTTAACTTATTTTCATCAATGTTTTTTTCTCTCTTTACACAGTTCTTTGTTGTTCTTTGTAATAGCCATTTTTTTAATACAAAGTTAGAATTGTATTTTTTAGCTGTTCATCGTTAAAAATTGTTACATTATTTTGCTACGCACCGATAAGCACATAATACGTTTAGTTCTCTACTGGTCCTTATGCTTATTAGTGTTAATATATATTTATATTCATTCATCTTAAAATACATGCAATGTTAATTGCATATACACCATATATAATGTCGATTTCGAATGGTATTAGATTGCTAGTTTTATCAAAAATTACATACCTGAACTTATATATTTTATAAATCTGTTGAGGTTAATTAATTATTGGCATTAACGTTCACCTTGACATTTTTGTCCCTATTACCAATTTTAGGACTTTCTTGGAAGATTTATTTATGAAAAATACATAAATTCACACTGACTGTCTTAAAAGACAGTCAGTGTGAATTTATGTATTTAAATAAATTCAGACGGACTGTCATATTTAAAAATATGACAGTCCGTCTGAATTTATGTAGTTTTTACCAATTTTATTTTTATATATAAATTGAGTTAAAGAACTAAACGATGATTTAGAAAAGGTTTTCCACAACTGTTGTAGGTTTTCCTGCATCAGCTGCAAAGGACGCCGAATATCCCTCAAGCTTGTGTAGATTTAATTAGATTGCAGCGAGTATAATACCGACCCTGCTCTTTAGACCAAGAAATTACGTGGCTTCCCTGGAGATTGTACATACCTGCTGTCCCTTCTATGGTTATTTATAAGGAAAAACGGATCAAAGTACATTGCGTCACTGTTCGTCTTCATGAAAAAGCAAATATTTTTTTTTTACTGCAACGATTTAATTTAGTATGAGTTGTAGTGGACTCTTTATTTATTCACTCTTTCATCCGTTATTCCACTGGCATCACGCTTCTTCTATATTAGTCATTTAATTTGTTTTCTTCTACATTAGTCATTTAACAGCAACAACAACAAAAACAATAATATTAATTATGATGGTTTTGAAGAGTGGAAATCTCAAAAATATGATACATGAGGACATCAATCATTACAGTTGTAGTTGGAGCCTTTAGATTGATTGGAAACAGTTCCGATAGACTCCTTGAAGGAGTTCCTGTTAGCTTATACCTTAAAGAAATACAAAAAATTCCACTCACAAGTATAGTTTACACATTACGAAAAGCTTTATCTATGTATAATATGTATGATCTTACATTTTTTTTTTTTTTGTTTTACAAAAAGATCAGTGGAAAATCAGTGTCATGAAACCATTTCTGACCTTAGGTTTCTGGTTGGGGTCCGGAAGGAAATGTGTATACAACAGAAATCAAGGGATATAACAACAGCAACAAAGGAAGAAAGAAAGTTGCAATAATGATGCATATTTTTTTTTTTTCGATTACTTTTGACAAATGTCATCTTCAGCATCTTTTTTAGCAGGGTCTTGTTTTATCTAAAACAAATTTGTCGTGTTTATCTGAAAATTAATTTTTTAATTGTTAAGTGAAGAACGCTAAACTCATGTACTGTACGATTTTTAAATTTTATGATGTAAACATACTCGTGCAGTAACGTCACGAGAGGTAACTTATTCAGATCTCGATGTTTTTGTAAAAAAAAAATATTTAAATCTATTAGTTAAACCCTAGGTATTTTAAACTATCTACTGTAAATATTTTAAAACATTTGTGCAGTATTCATAATTAATTTTATTAAAGATTGGCTTCAATTTTTAATATAGCTCGCTTCAGAAATTTTTAGTTTATGCTTATTATTTTCATGAAAAATTATAGGTGTATTTGCAACAAGAATTTTTCTAAATTACGAACATGGACGGGCATGCTGTTGTAAATGTTTAGAAATGTTAGATGCATCATTCAAATGAAAACTCAACCTCCAAGACAACGTAGTTGTAGTGTGACCAACATAAATATTATTTTTTCTGTTGGAGATACACTCACCCAAGGAACATTTAAATTTATGTATAATGTTGATCTTCTGCAACAACTTAACTTATAGGAAGTTATTACGAATGATTTAATTGAATATATTGAATTTAGTAAAGTACATAATTAATTTTATTATTTTACTATGATCTGTGGAGGATATATTTGTATTTATTAGTATTTCTAGGATATTTTTATCATGTTTATAATTAGAATGTATTTGATTGCGATATAAAAGATTATGATTATTTGAAGAAGTATTCTATTTGATTTATATCAACATTTCTAATAGAACAACTTATTTCTTCATCGGCAATATGATTGAGGAAGTTATTATTAATAGTTTGTTTTATATTATTTAGTTCACTGTAGAAAATTTGTTTTGTGGATGAATTAATTTTTACACGGTTTATTAGATTTTTTATAATTGCTATTTTATAGTAATTTGGACATTCACTCTTATAAGAAATTTATGCTAGTAGTTTATATATATATGTGTGTGTGAGTGTGTGTGTGCGTGTGTGTGAGAGAGATAGTGAATTTATTATTATTAGTGTTTATCTAGAAAAGGAATTTTATTACTATTATTAAGTTTGTATGTTAATTTAATTTATTTTGCAATTGTTTTTGGAGTTGATATTTTTGACTAAGTGAAGGATATCATCGACATATCTGAAGTAGATGAAAGTTTTTGGGTTTTTTTTTTTAATTTGACAAATATATTATTTTCGAGACTAGACATCGAGAAATTACTAAAAGTTGGGTCCAGGAGTGAACCCATAGAAACACCGCCTCGTTATATGAATATATATTATTTTTGTGATCATAGAATGGGACTTCATTAGTACAAGTTAGCAAAACACCCCTCAAAGACACTGTGTCTGGACAAATAACGCAGTAAAATGGCAAGAAAATGCCAACATTCTTAATGCAAAACGCAACTCGGCACTTTATTTTTCATCTCTTTTTCGTTCGTCACTTTCAAACATTAAAACGAATTAACTTAAAAGGGCAAAATAAGAATGGATTCCAATGTTCATTTAACTTCGTAATTGGAATTCTATTTCTAGCTTTAAGAGGGATATCTTGATTTGGAAACTGATTTTAAAACATTGTCTAGACTGTCAAATATAACTTAGTATTTCTTAGTACTTTTCCAGCTCCAATTTTGGTCAATGATAAATACTGCGTGTCAATCCGTCCACTGCTATATATATATATATATATATATATATATATATATATATATATATATATATATATATATATATATATATATATATGGGGGGATTCGTGTGTAGACAAGTGCATATGCATAGATGCGCGAATATTAGTTGCAGTTACCCTAAAATCAATCAAAGTTCCAATGCCTGACTTTTTGTGACTGTCTTATGATTCGGTAAAATATTTGTAACTCCTTCAAACCAAATAAAAGCAAATAAAAAAGAACTAATCTAGACATACACTGATTATAAATATTTGCAACTTTGATTAACAAAAATAACTGAAAAATGTGCGTCATTTTCTTTTTTTATTTATTTTGTTAAGCTTTGTTTTTAGAAAATTCTTCTTCTTATGTAATCTTTTCTTACTCTATCGAACATGTACGTCTTTGAATTTAGAAAAGATTGCGTTTCCTATTTTAAGAGAAACCACAGTTTTATTTCTGTCTTTTAATTAAATTTCTCTCTCATAGATTTCTTCCTTCCATCTCTATTTCTCTTGCACACTCATTCCCTCTCTCTCTCTCTCACACACACGCGCGCGCACGCGCGCTTCCTATCACATATACATATTTCCCTCACTTCCTTTCTTGCTCTCTCTTTTTTTCACTCTCTCTCTCTCTCTCTCTCTCTCTCTCTCTCTTCCTCTCCCTAATCAGCTTACGCCCTTTTAAACTGTCTCAGAAAAAGTAGAGAGGTACAAGTTATTCAAACATTAAACTGATTTTGTATTTAATTTCCACATATGTAATAGAAATTATTAATGAAAAATATATCGTTATCATCTTATCGGATAAACTTTGGTGAACAAACATTTCTAACATAATATAAATAATCAATGAAATAGGAAGAAAATTCATGAGAACTTCTAACTGTATCAAACATTGCCTGAAAGTATTCTTATTCTCAGTTCTCTTTTTCTTTGTCTATGTATGAATGTAGAGACATTAGCTGCTGAAATAACACCAGTTTATGCTCCCAGCAAATTATACATCAAATGTTGATCCTGGCGTTAAGAATGGTTTCGAGGCTGAAACATTAGATATTCTATGTCTAGGTTTTCTTGTTTTCTTTCTTATAAACAAACATAAATATGATATTGAATAAGTTCAGATTTCTTGACTATATTTTTGAATATTCCTGTCGGTATGATTTCTTCAAAGCCTTCAAGGTATGTATTTAGTCCGTATACAGCGTTATTAAGGCCAAAAATAATTATTTTCCGATTGAGAGTGTTACTTGCTACTGTTGTTTTATCCAACGATTATGATATATTTACCCGCTGTCGATTTCCCTGTTTTTATTTCTTTCTCCTCTTTCTCTTTCCTTAATTATTCTCGCACTTTTTCTTTTCACAGATGTTCTTTGTCTTAAGCCGGATGGAATTAACTTCAGATCTCTACAGCTACATAGGAATGTAACATACTCTGGTATTCAACCGAGTTTAAGTGCAGTTTTACAAACTTTTTTCCATTTACGTTGCTTTTGTTCGTATTTGATAAGACCTCTTTAAATTTTTGACAGAAGCTTTTCTTACTATTCAACGCTAATCTGAAAAAGCATTAAATTGTAATTAGAAACTTGGAAACAATTAATATTCTTATTTCAACTAATATACCTTGTTGTTCGTAGAAGGACTATCGAAATCATCATATTGATCTAAATACACGAAACTTTTTCCCCTAATTCGGCTATTGACTTCCTCAAATACATAGTCAGCGATTCTCTTTTAGTCAGCTTCTAATTCATTTATTTCTGGTAGATGATTAAGAAAACTTTATTACATTCTTTTGTTGAGCTAGGTATGCAATTATCATTGATTAAAATGATTTTTATTAGCATTGTGAATTCACTGGAGCTTAATTCTATAAATTAGGTAACCATTTTTATGAACATTTCTTTGTCCCTTTATGGGTAAGTAAATTTATCTGTAAGATTACTTTGGCTTACTGTTGTCTGCTATTTATTATGACGCATACTACAAGCTGAAAGCAACTTTTCATAAGTATTTTTACGTTTAATTTTTTAGCAAAAGAAGTGTTTTATCGCATCTAAATTGCTTATATTTTTTTTTAAATTATATATTTTTATACATTTCTTAAAATTTTGATTTGTTTTCTCTTAAATTATTCATTATCTCTTCAAGAACAAATTTCAGAAAATTCAATTTGGAGCAAAAAGTTAAGAATTAAAAAAAATACAATTAGAGAAAATTGAAAGGAAATAAACTTTCAAACAAGTTGGGATATTTTGACTAAATGTATGTATGTATATAGATTTAGTCATCAAATGCACAGTATCTCATTTGGAAGTTTATTCTGCAAAGCACTCAAAAACTTTTCAGATTTATTTTCGGAGTGAAGGGAATTTTTATTTCATTCTGGCATGAATTTATATCAAGTAGTCTCCATTTATATCCTCTACTGAGTCTTAAACTCAGCCCAGATCTCAAATAGAACTCGTACATGTGATCCATCGCTAAAGCTGCAGGAGAAATGGTTGCTTCTCTGTAGCGTTCCAGTAAGTACGTGATTCCTCTTGTTATCCTCTACCTTTCCAAAATCCAGATCAAGCCACAAATGGAGTACTGTTGCCATATTTGAGTTGGAGCTGCCCAGTCATCACTTTCCAGTCTCAATAGAGTCCAAAAGCGTCACCTTGTAGAGGACAAATTATTTTCCATCCTCCAATCTTCCTCTCACGGGCGGAATGTGGCAAGTCTCTCACTGTTCTATCCCTACTTCCATGGAAATTGCTCGGGTGAACTGCATTCTTTGGTCCACCTGTTATAACCTTCACGGCTATGACCCACCATGCCACTCACACTCGAACAGCTTCTTCCCACGAAACATTGCTTTGTGGAACTGATTCCCCAATCTTAACCTGTCTAGGGTTAACCGTTATCTTCCCCTTCTATCCATATAAACTGCCTCTTACTGTAAACCTCTACATCGAGTGGCTCCTGAGTGGGCGTGGGCCTTATATAGGATCAATCATACTGTAAAAAAATTAAACGGACGGATAATTTCTTTAGCCAATTATTACACGTTCGTTCTTTTTCCACAGTTCATCTAAGAGCTATAAAGTTAGATGTGTGAAATGATTTTTTAAGATCATTTTTTCCCTATTCTCTAGAGCAGATATATTATATGACTGGAAACTGATTTGGAATTATCTTATAAGAATCAATGATTTTGATCAAAATATGTCTTTTAATTCTTAATAATTAAAACTGGAAATTTTATGTTTTATTTAAATGATTCTACATAAGATATAGAAAGGTTATCATGTCATTATGTAAATTCTATGCTCTCTTTTTATTAGTACAAAGATACAAGAAAAATTACAGGCCTTTCATTGATCGTCTCCGCTTTATCAAATTTGTACCGATGCATCTCAATAGAATTTATTCTTCATTTGCTGCTGATAAAATTAACAGCTTCAGTGCAAATGTTCTCGGAAGACTTGCGCGGAAAACCAAGATCCTTGTAAAAAAGAATCTAAAAGAGGATTAAATCAAAATATCTGTCTTGGAATCTTAACATATGTTGCTACCAAATTTCAAATTGTGTAAATGATTATACATATTCCCAAAATAAATTGCAAACTACTATTGTTTACTCAAAGGAATTATTTCTTTAAAATTACTTTTTCGATAAATCTCGAAATCTACAACAAGAAGCTTGATAGTAAATTCTATGAATTTGTTTCTCTAGCACATTCTTATCTCCACAAGAGTAACATTTTAAAAGTATTTTTTTTCATTATTCCACTTCATTTTATTCTTCGGTATAATCAATTACTTGTAATGACAATCTACTTACATTACTCTTCCTACAATGTGACATTTTATGACTCGCTTTAAATACATTTTCTGATATAGGAAAACAATCGACCGATCAACTCCAATCTATGCAGAAATCATATAAATGCTTAATCTGGTTTTGGTTTAAACAACTGAATTCGTCATTAAATCTCTATATAAATGCTATAAATAGAAAATTTCACATGAAAAATGGATGTAAACTTGGAATACCATAAATTTTGTGGATCAATTTTAATGAGTCAGGATATCTTAAAATTGAGCTTTTTTATGGGGAAGAATACTTTTAGCTTATTTTAACCTCTAGCTTTGATTCTTACTAAAACTGCTCCCCAGTGAGATGAGAAAGTAACCCCACTGCTCGTTTAAAATGTACACGTCGACTTGTTTAATAAAATAGATAAGTTTAAAAATCCCTTTTGTTGAAGTTCTCATTTTACCTCCTAACAAACCGACTAGCGATCACCCGACTGGAAGAAGACGGTCGAGAGAGAAGAATGCAGCTTTGTTATGGAATCGACCACGTCAACCAAAAGACCTCCCCAGAGGAGGGGAGTATACAGCATATGAATACACACACTCCGTCTAAAAGCAAATCATATAAACTTCAATAATTCAAATTTGGTTTGAAAATATTGTCAAATTTTAAACGATCAATTTATATGTCAAAACAACACCTTAGTTAAAATTTTAGATAGTATCAATGTTTTATTAAAGTTATCGAAGTTATTTGATATATTCTAAAAAAAAAAAACTCATGTTATTAGACAAAACCAAATATTCACATTTTACTTCAATAAAAATTTAATAAAATCATCAAAAATTAATCAACCCCTATCAAGCAAATAACAAACACATATGATAAGTCTTTATATCCTTTACATTTTAATATAGTGACACTTCTTCTCAATAACGGCCATTAATGCATTATTCATTGAATTTGTCATTTTTTTTTTTACTTCTGCAGATTCAGTTTTCGATATGGTATTTTTGCTTAGCTGTTATATTGTTTGCCACTTAAATATAATGTTATCTTCACAATTGACCATAGATTTTCGATCGGATTCAGATCAGGACTTGATGGTGGCTATTCCATTATCTTATCTCCCGTAAATCTTTTATGCTCAAATAATTTTCAGGTAAGCTTAGATACATGAAAAGGAGCATTGCCGTGCGTAAATACACACTTCACTTTCAAACTGCGAGCCTGGGACTTGTAAGAAATTTTTGTTCATAAATTAGCAATAGTTATAACTGTTCAGTTTAATTCCATCATCGACTTTGAATAGTCCAGTAATGGTTTGGTCGACAATTCCAGTCCATATCATAAAACTGCCACTCTCTTGTTGCCTTCCTTTAGCCACATGCACGTCTGAATTGAATAAAATCCTTCCTTTGGTCCATCCATCAGGTCCATCAAATGTCACTCGAGATTTGTCCGTGAAAATTACTTTAGAAAAGTCAATTGTCATGTATTTCTTGGCCCAATTTTGACGTTTTAAAATATTTACTTTAGTAAAAGATTTTTTTTACAGATCCCATTTCACAAAGTATTCTACACCTTTTCTCCTTCAATTGACTCCCTCAATTCCAGCCTTTTCAAATATCTGAGCGCTCGTCAAAAGTGGTTGTTTCGCTATAACTCACTTTAGTTTACGTTCATCTCGAGGAAGCAAGTTCTTAAAGCCTCTTACTTTGCTTCGAGTTTTCAACTTATATTTTCAACTTATATTTTCAACAGCCTTCTTTATCGTTGGATGATCTCCGCCATGCTCCTTTGATATCTCTGATGTGGACATTCTCCCACCCAATAACTTTGCTAATTTTTGTTTTCCAGCTGGTGTTAGATCCTTTCCTTCACCTATGTTTCAATATATATTATGGACAAAAAGGAGAAATGTTTTTATTAGATTTCAGAGGTCTTAAGCTAATATTAGTTTAATCTGCATACTAACTTCAGTCAGTCCATTTTCGTGAATTCCAAATATCTCAAAAACTAACCATTAAAATGTCAAGAAATTAAATTAAATATTTTACTAAGGGTGGAAATGGACGAGTTTAAATTTAACAAATATTGGTTCAGAACTTTTTGAGTTACTGAGGTTTATTTGATTTGCATAACTTCAGACAGGCTGTATATGTGTGTGCGTTTTTTTTTTTTAATATCCTTTGAATAAATCTAATTATTTACGTCAAGAATATTTTCATAAATCTTTTTCAAGAATCACATATTCTCATTCTTTTACATGCATAAATATATTTTAAATGAGACAAACTTTTACCATGGAAACTTATCTGATTGACAACTATTGACGAGGTTAGCAATTGCTTAATTTAGTTTTGTTTATTTTATGTTAATTAGAAAGGAACTTTTCACTCTATTAGTTCAGCTGGTCTATCAGCCAGAGATCGATAACTTTTATTGCAAATATGAGCACCACGCTTTATCTTTCTTTTCTGTGCCTTATTTGTATAAATATTCTTTGATAAGCGCTGCTCTCTTTCTCTCTCTATCTCTCTCTCTCACACTCTCTCTCATTATATCTCTCTATCTATCTCTCTTTCTCTCTCTCTCTCTCTCTCTCTCTATATATATATATATATATATATATATATATATATCAGGAGCGTTCATTAAGAATTTGTCTTTACTGATTTGCACAGTACGGAGAGGCATGAAAATTGCCACATTGATTAATCGTTTGATGCACATGCAGTGGCATTTCTGGTAGAAATTAAGTTAAGACTACAGCCAGGACTGAATCTCAGTAATAAGAGTGCTTATCATCAGAAATCTTGAGCTCCTTGATGAAATCCAAAGAAGAATCAGCAATATTACTGACAGCTCAGTTTCAGTCACTTTCTCACCGACGTATGGTTGCCTTTCGGTGTCTTTTCTATAAATACTTTCATGATAATTGTTCGGGTGAACTCTTCGCTATGGTACCTAGACTTTTTGAATTTAAGCGCAGTACTAGACTGGCATCGAGATCTCATTAACTTACAATTGAGCTAGTTAAAGGTAGCCGTTGGTTCTATGCTAACAGTTTCTTTTCTCGTACTTCTCCCTTCCGGTTCCATGTTTTCCGGCTAACTTTAATCTGCAAAAATTTAAATCCCGCTCATTGTTAATGTTTCTATTCCTGATTCTTCCACACCTTTTAACCATTTGCATCTTGCATGGGGAGATCTCGATTTAAAAAATGCCACCAGCTCAAGTGAAGTGGGGAGATAGGAAAAAGTTTTGTGTGCTTAGGCGTGTATTTCCGTTTGTGTGACATGATATATGTGTGCTGCTGCATGTCTTTCATAATTTGACACCGTTTTGAGCATACCGCTTCTGTTTTGTTTTATGACCAATCGTAATTTCATCAGCATTAACATAGTCATTGTTACTGTTTTACTTTAGCCTAGGAATTTCAATAACATATAATTTTGGTTCCAGCAAAGAAATAGACACTTATTTTGAAGTTGTGGTTAATAACTTTTATCATTGTTTGAACTTTTCGGTAAAGTGACAGTAATTATGTCCAGATGATAGTTATTCATCAAGGTTTATTTTACTTTCATTTTATCTGCTCCGATTAATGTTTAATTAGCCATTTTCTAAATTTAATGAATGTGAAGAAAGAATTTCCGTTGTAGTAACTACGTACGTATACATGAAGTTGATAAAGGAAATAAAGTTTTATTGAAACGAATATTTTGATGAATTAAAAACGAGAGTTTCAATTGTGAAACATGAAAATATAAAAGAGCTCTCCAAGACTGGCCAGGAGCTATAATACATTTCAAAGGAAAGAATAAATCAATACAGGCCTGCTTATCAAAGCTGCAGTATAAACCACAGATTGGCTCTGACGTTTGTTGAAGAAACATAAATACGGACTGAGCAGGCGTCTACAACAAGGATTAACTAGTCACGTTTGCAGAATACGAAACATGTCTGTAGTTTCTGCCTACAGGCTGACCCGCTGAACTGATGTTCTTTATTCTTCCTAATCTAAAAATTACTGAATTAAGGAAATGTTAATCCTCATCAATAGTTGGAAAAGCAGAAATTCTGGAACCGACCCTCTTCCCAAATTCTAACCAAATATCAAAAATTTAGTTTGGAATAACTTCACCTCCTCGTATTATTATTCTTCTATGTTCCGTTTACCTTCAGCAACTTGGCAATCATGGCTCTCCACAATTTCCTGTCCTTTGAAGCTCATAATAAATTTTGTCTCTTTAAAATCTCTCCTAAACTCTGTCCTGCTATCTATTTACTCAAGTTCGTTAGGTACGTTATGCATTGTTTTTTTCTCTGTCACTCTTGCCTTCAATCTGCCTTGCCTCACCCTTTCCTCATTTTGTGTCCTAAAAATTGTGATAGTCATACAGGTCTCTCTTTCTGATGTTAAAAACAAGTTTCCTTTTTGTTTCCATTTTCTCTAATTTTCTCGTCGTTGATCGAATGTTATTATTGAATATAATTCTGTATTTTATAAAAAAAAAATACGAATATCTTTAGTTTTGAACTATTTAAAACAATATAATTTTTGCTGAAGTTCATATTTGAAACATACGCTCTTAATTAAGATATACTTTCAAAAATATAATATACAGATGACCAATGTTGTTCAGATATTTCAGTTTTCTGAAGTACCGTTTTTGCTTACCGTTGCCACCATTATACAATCAGAAAAATACCAAACGTAATCCAACAATTGTACTTGATTGTTTCTAGAATTAATATTTTATTGTTTTTAATTCGATGTCGATTTTAATAATCGTTAATAATTTAGTTTTTATTCAGATTTTTGATTTTATAATTATAATTTTTTTTGTGTGTTATATTTTAGGTTGAGCTTTAAATTTTTATATGAAAATAGGTTCTGTAATTCAATAATAGTAGTTTGTCCTTGCTCTCTCTCTCTCTCTCTCTCTCTCTCTCTCTCTCTCTCTCTCTCTCTCTCTATTTCACTATTTCTTTTTTCTCTCGTTCTGTCCCGCACACTTACTTTCTCTTTCACTCTCCCTTTGTCTCTTTCTCTCTTCACCTCTATCCGTCTTCCGCTATCTCCCTCTGTCACATTCTCTTTCTCTCTCCTCCATGTCCCCTTCCCTCTTTCTTTCTACCTCCCTCTCTCTTTCGCTGTCTGTGTATAGTCATACAGGTCACGAGTAAATCATATGTGTTATAGCTATGAAGTTAGTCATATACAAAGGAAGGAAGTTGGAAACAAGTGACTTCTGAATTTTATTAGCCATCTGTCAAAATTTGTGTTTGAAAAGCAACTCAAAGGACACAATATGTTTATGGCTGAGAAGAATAAGTTAATAAAAATGTCAATAATACAACGTGATAGAACCAAAGAAGACAATTTTCAGGATGCGAAAAGTTCAATCTGAAGAATCCATTCTAAAAAGAATGTCAATTCACATATAAACTGCATCTCATATGCTTAGCCACTTCGTGCTTTGTCAGTATATAAAATAAATAATTATTGGAAAGATATTTTGCTGCATGATGACAATTTTCACCTGTACAGTAAGGATGGAAGCCGATTCATTTTGTTCATATGTAAACAAACGTAACCATTTGTATAAAATGTCGTAAATTCTGAATACATTATGTTACTTGAGTTAAATTCACTCCATATGCTGATTACCAAGTAACAAAATTTACTTTATTGATCTCAATTTACAGATAAGATCAAATCAAAATCATTAATAAATCAGCCGTGGCACATCACATTTTAAATTTAGCGCCTGTTATTTTTAGCCAACTTTATAGCTGTTTTAAACTCCCTGTCCGCAACCTGCACTCCGATCTATAATGCGTCTCACGCATGTATCTTTTTTCCTGGGTTGATTGTTCCTTCATTAAAGGTGCTAGAGGACAGACATTTTTCTAGGTTTTGGCGTTATCCGCCTGATAGTCACGGATCCGAACCTTCGAAGGAGGATATCCTATCAGCAGGTGTATAATATTTGTTGCTATTATACTACGATTTTATGAATGGTTTCTGAACCGCGCAGTATTCTCTGGTCGGGCCTCTCAATGAAGGTTACTTCTACGGTTGTATCTCTAGACGATTCTCTTCAGGTTATTTATACATGCAACTCCTGTGGGCGGGCGTGTTTGTCTCACTGCCTACTAGTCTTCCACCAACCAATACACAAATGAAATCAATCAAAATGAAAACGAACAAAACTAGGAAACCTAACCTAAAAATACAAAGTAGATCCCACGTATACCATCTCCTACACCAACGTCGGAGGGGGGGGTCTGCGTTCCAACTTTTCATCTTCTTCAGAGCTCTTGTTACTTTCTGAAACGCCTCATGCACCCTGGAGGAGCTCACAGGTTACTCACCTCCTATAGCAAAATTCGAACACCTAAATCCTCACAGCCACAGTCTCGGTGCCTACAACAAGGACGAGTTTCCATGTGGCAGGGACGCAAATGAACGAGGGCCCTGATCTCCTGTATATGTACTTCCGCGTGGCATTTATCCATAGTACCACATTCGTCTGCTCTTTATCGCCCTCAGGACGAAGCAAAGGTAATTTAAGAAGAGTGATAATATTCTCACTCAATTAAACTTGGCTAGCTTTCATATCTACAGTGACTTCACTATCCACCATAAAGAGTAGCTAGTCCCCTCCAACAAAACCGATGAAGAAGGCAGATATTGCAGCGACTTCTCCATCACCTATGGGCAAACCCAAATCATCGAAGAACCTACCCACGTCCCGGACATAACGGGACATCACACGAACCGCACCAATCTCTTTCTAATCTCCTGTCCTGATAAATGCTTAGCAAAAATTTTACCCCCATGAGGCACGCCAGACCGTTCTTTAATCAGTGTTCAGACTGATGCCAAACCTAAAGCACTCCTGATATACAGTTCCATAGAACGATTTTTCGCTATGTGAAGGCAGACTGAGACAGTTTTCAATCCTACATAATGGAAGCTCCCCTCCTAACCTTCTTCAATCATGCTGCCTCCAGAACTGCTGCCCTTGTCAATGATTGGATCCTTTTTGGAATGGATAGTTGTATAAACCATAAAAATTCCAGCAAAAACAGTCAGTCCTAACTCACCGAAACCACTATTTCAATATCTGTTGCAAGGAGCGATGTAGTTTGGCTCTCACTGCCCTCAGAAATGTCTGCAATCGCTGTAAAAAAAAAAGTTCTAGAAAACGCCAAGTGCAGCTACGCACGAGCAGTCCAGACCAAGATTGAAAAAATTGAATCCAGTGAATTATGGAAGAATACCAGCCAAAACATGAACACAGGCTAAACGGCTGTGACCAGAATTATAAATGGCCCCGACGTCATATCTTCCAGCTCATGTTTTCAACAGACAGGGTGAACCACTTAACCTCCTTCTTTGCCTCTAACTCAATGTTAGACGAAAAAGACCATCCCCTCACCCAACTTCTCACGTCTCACTAAGCATAATCTCAGTAATATTACCATTACAGCACGAGAAGTCTCTGGACTTATCAAAGCCACTAGCCCAGACAAAATTCAAGTGGTTGTCCTCAAGAATATCAACCAGGAATTATCCCCAATCCTAATTATGCAACTGCTGCTTTAAGGAGAAATCCTTCCCAAGCCTCTGTGGAATGTGTCAAGTGTATGCCCAATTTTCAAGAACACGGGTGACCGATCTCCTCCTCTGCAATTACTGACCCATCAGTCTCCTCGATAGGCCTTTAAGGCCATAATCAATAAGAAGGTCGTCGAGCACCTAGAAAAGAACAACCTCTTTAGCGACGAGTAGTATGAGTTTCGATCGACCCGATCCACTGCCAACGCCGTAACATCACTCATAGAATCAGTGAGGCTCCAAAATATGAATTAAATGTAACTATACATAAAATCCTCTTCTCCCAATAGCAGTCACAATTTTACCAAAGGGTAGGTGTCAGGCAACCTCAGCCAGGTCAATTTCAACCACCAATAAGTCAGTCCTACTACCACTCCATAAAAATAGAAGAAAGACTTTTCTCACTCGAACTCGAATACTACAAACTCGAAGAAAAAAACGTCTTTTTACGAGACTGGATCTTTGTCTGCTGACAGTTACTTTGAATGTATATATTCTTTTTTATTGTTATAAAGGGCACTTTTTATATACCCAGTTTGTTCAAACTTTGTCTTAGTTCAAATCATGTTGTTCGTTAAGTGCGCCCATGGCTTTCAACGAATGATGTTAATTCAAGAATTTCTTTTTTTTTTTTTTTTTTGTTTCTTTCTTTCTTTCTTCTACATCATCAGTGGTGTGGAATATTTGTACAGGTGTAAGAAGTAAACTTGGTTAAGGAATTTGAATGAGTTCCGAAAGTAATCAGAATGGAAAACCCAGTTTTAGATTGTAAAAGTTGCTGGCAGCTGCAGAACCAATATAATTTTGGACATAAAAATATAAACATCAGAATGCTAATTTCACTCTTTTCTATTTGCAACCTGATTTCTTACGAATTTTAAAAATAACCGAAACGTTTTCTATAATCAGTAGAGTCATATTATAAAAGCGAAGAGTTTGTGAGAATTTTTACACCTAAAAAAGCAGTTAACTATTTGGATTTGTTTTATTCGGATTTTGTCTACATTTTTATCGTTTTGTTTGTTAGAATTGGATTTTGTTCACGTACAATTATTACCATAAAGAAATCAAAGCACATAGGTTAAATGTCATCTAGATTATTATCATTTGTCTCACAGAGATCTCCAAAATATTTTTTTTCTTCAGAAGCTGTATGAAAACATGCCTTGATAGTAGTTTCTACTAACTTGATAAATAATACAGTCTCCTCCTAATATTATAATTGCCATTCGAAAACATAGAGGGTTCTTCAATATTCTTCAATATCTCTCCATATAGTATCAGTAATATTGACTAATAAAATAACTTTAATAACTAAAAACTATTGATGTGTACATAGAAAAACAAAATGGTCCTTTTGATCAACCCTGCAACTCTGCTTTTCGATTCTAACTTTTTTCTGTTTTCTTTCATTCGACTTTTTAAAACAATCAATGCATTTCAATATCCAAACAATGGAAAAATCAAAGGGAATGATACTAGATGTAAATGAAATAGAATTAATAATAACTATATTCCAGATACGAGTATGTTCTGTAAATTTCTGAATTCGATCCATTTACAAAGATTTTACCAAATGCCCGGCCATCACATTTTTTATTTATTTATCTACTGGAATGATATCTTTTCAACACCCCCTCGTAATTGCGTTTTACTCGGCTACGTACACACCAACTTCATTTCAAACAGATATGGGTTTCCGTGAACTATGTGAAACTAGGTGGCTGAATAACAGATATTTCGTCAGTGACATTCACAAGATTATATATGCAAGCGGAGAGAAAAATGACAAAGGAGTTGGATTGGTACTAGATCAAGACATGAAAAAATGAGTTCTGGGTTACTCTCAGTTATCTGAAAGAATTCTTGTATTTAAACTAAAAGGAAAGCCTTTCAACATATCTATTATAATTTTGTATGCCCGACAACACAGAGTATGATAAGAAGAAATCGAATCTTTCTACTCCATGATAAAGTAGGCAACGAGAGGAATGGCGAAATAACTGGCAAATTCAGACTAAGAACCCGCAATGAGCGCAGGGCCAGTGTTCAGGTAATAGCCAATACCTGTTTCCATGAACAACCAAGACAATTAAGAACATGGAGAAGCCCATGAGGAAAAACTAAAAAACCAAATCAATTACATAATACAGTTGTTCACTGCAAAAAAATATCCAATTGCCGACTGAAAAAGAAACCACCTCCCTGTTATATGGAAAGTAAGAATGAAACTACGGAAGCTGAAGAAAACTAACACAGTACCCAAATTACAATACAACCGACTCCTGAACGACCAAGACCTGAAGGAATAAGTATATGAACAGTGTGAAAAGAAGATACGAGGGACAAAATGGAAATGGAAGCTCGAAATGGGTCATACTAAGAGAAGATTTAGTGTCATCAGCAAATGAGATCATCCCAAAGGAAAATGGACGATGAAGAAAAAAACGAATGAATGACAAATGAGATTACCGACATGATGCAAAAGAGACAGAAAACTCTGCCAAGACATGAAACGGAATCCAAAAAAGTACACAAAGA